AACACACACACACACACACACATGGTGACGCAGAACTCACCCCTGCCCTTGACCCCAATCCTGGAGTGTTTACGACCCGGGTTCGACGACTCTATCTCTGATGACCAGCCCGTCATACTGCTGAGGCTGTTGCCAAATTGTCCGGATATCGGGCCATCCTCGCTGCCCGGACTGACAACTTCCTGTTCATCCCGACCCACTTCTACATGTGTGGTGCCGACGTCGTAGATTCCCGAACTCTCCTCTGTCCGGATGTCCGTGTAAAATGTGGTTGACTCCTCCTCAGGAATGCTGGGCTGAGTCTGAATGACCTTGACCTCTCTAGCCTGCGGTGGACCCCCGCCACCCCCTGTCTTCGACCGATGGGCCACACTTTGTTCTCCTTTCTCTTCCTTTTGACCAGAACTTTTCACATCAGAACCTGTCAGATCTTGAACCTCTTTCGACCCACTTCGGGCACCACCCACAGTGGACTTGTATTGAGACACCGCTGGCATATCCTCGCTGCTCGTGGGCACAGTCCAGTCTCGGGACTTTTCCTTCCCACCTTTTGACCCGTCTCTCGACTCCCTGGAGTTTGTCGTCGCTATGGCAACATCAGCATGACCCTGACCCGCATCTTTTTCCCTGTGCCCCACCCCCGTAGCGCAGACAGCGTTCTGTGTCTCCATCTCCTTCTTCTTCCTCAGAGACTCCCGCTTGGCTCTCTCCAGATCGGCCTGCACGTCGATTTCCTGGAGAACTTTCTTCAAGATGGCTTCCTGTTCCGCAGCGTCCAGTTTCAGGGGAGGTAAGGCAGCACAGATTTCCTCGTACCCTCTCACAACTCCAGTCTGGTGGGAGGAAGAGGAGGTGGTGGAGGATGGGTGGTGAGAAGAGGAGGATGAGGGTGGTTGGTGGGTGGACGAGGGGACAGACGTTTGACTCTGTCCCTCACGCCCCACCTCACCCTTAGACACAAATTCGTCTGTCTGTTGCTTCACCCTGAGCTGTGAGTCCACAAGCCTCGATTCATCTTCCTCCTTCTTCTCAGAGTCAGAAACGGTCTCCGGAACATCCTTCTCTTTCTCTTTGTTCCCCTGTCGGATATTCTCCTGTATAGAATCCCCCTTGTCCACATCGTCGTCTAGACCGTCAATTTCCTCCGTCTGTCCGTAGATATCTTCCGTACTAGAAGACGGGGTTCCAACCAATCCCTCCCGGGCGTCTTCAGCGATCGCTGTGACTGAACCCCCGAGAGACGAAGGAGGGCTCAACATTCGTTGTTGAGCCGGGGGTGAGGAGAGCTGGTTGAACTCGTCTTCGCTGACTCTGCGACTGCGCGGGCGTCTGGGAGAGGAGTAGATCTCCTCCAGACTGGCAGCGTCTTCCAGCACCACGGGCGAACCCACCGGTGAAAATGTCGCTGTCCTTGCTGTGGCTGATTTGGGAACATCGACCGGCAGCCTCCCAGTCGCGCCGACCATACCCCCCGTTCCACTTTCGACTTGGACATCGCGTGTCCTACCAGTGACCACAGTATCGCGTGTCCTACCAGTGACCACAATATCTGACACACCGTCTGACCGGCGCCGTTCGTGTTCCCGAGGCCCGTCTAAATCCATGTCCTGTCCCAAAAGCCCCAAGGAGTCACTCGACTGTTGACTCACTCTCCGCACATCCGCGCGGGGGAACAGAGATGGGGACAAGGTGGACGACAGGCCTCCCGGTGACCTTGACACAAGGTTATCACCGACGCCACTGTGACATTGACCCGGGTCAGGGCAGGAGATGTGGGAGGAGGTGGAGCCCTCCGATGGAGTGAAAGAAATCTGGGATGTGGCAGCTCCAATCCTCCGTATCTCCTCCACGTCCTGAATGCTGGAAAACACAGACAGCCCCGGCCTGCCCGCTCCCCCCTGGCCCGACGACGACGCTCTGTCTGACGCATTTCCTCCTCGAGCCACGATCGACTCCTCCATGACTTTTTTCTTCTCTCTCTCCTTCCTCCTCCCTGCCAGGTCCGAGGAAGAAACAACTGCACAAAGAAAAAAGATAAAAAGACATAATTATAATAATCAGATACACAGAGAGAAAGAAAGACAGACACACAGTGAGAAAAAAACCCTGACACATTCAGAGACACAAAGAGTAAAAAAAAACCACAATCAGACACAAAGAGGTAAAGAAAGAGGAATGAAAATTGACATGCTAGCCATTAAATTGACACTTTACACAAAAGAGAACTCTACTCAGTGTCAGTTCTAAGAAGCCCTAAATTGATAAGTCTAGGTGTTTATTTAATCTTATATCTTCATGGCCACAGCACAACTGCCAAAGTCACTTTTTGTTGTTTTGAGAAAACTTAAAAGGAAAATAGAGTTTACTTAGGTCAACTTATGACTTGAGTTACACTGAAAATATCTTGATTGCTCAGTGTACTGTCAAACATAACTTTTCAAAATGACGTAAAGCAGTGACTTACACAAGGCAAATGAACTCACTAATTAGATGGGGTTTTTTATCCTGCTTATATTTTCTTTATATTTAAAACATGTACATATCAAAATTCGTACATAACGCAAATTTGACAATGACAATGACAATGATAAAGCAAGACTGTAGTTAGTTGGCAAAACCTTTATATGGCTTCACTTGTGACCTTCAAGCACTCTTCTTTTAGAGAAAAAATATTCCACAAACAGAGCAGTTGTGGTTTTTTGGGTCTATGTCGATGTCAGATTTGACTGTCTTGATGTTCTTGCTACTCTCGCATGTTTACGTACACATCTTACCGCTGGCAGAGGGCGGTCCTTGGGCGGAGACCACAGTGGCACTGGGGGCGGGGCTACCAGCCTCTCGTAGCATGGGGGGCGGGGCCGAGTGGGGGTCAAGGAGACCGGCCAGCTGGAGGGTGGAGTTGTTCCAGAGGTTGAGAACGCTTGAGTTACAGGAGAGGCAGAACTCTAGGCTCATCAGACCTGGGGGAAGGGGG